TTCTTTGTTGCTCTCCATGTACTTCATGTTTGAAAGCTCCTTATGATCTGAAGCCAGTCTTACAGTAAGTGGAAATTGGCAGCACCTGAAATTCCACATATGGCCGTGAAGGTTTTTATGTAAATCCTGTGCTGCAGATGATTAGACAAATGCTGAATGAAGAAGTTGCCTTTTGTAAGCTGTAACCCTGATTCACTAATACTTGTGGTGTGTGGCATGGGAACATGCACCATTTAACTCACTGGAAAGCTGTGGTGTTAAAATACTGTTTATAATTTTATATATATATATATATAAATTATCATCACGGAAGAAAATTAACTAATTACAGTTTTCTTTTTGTCCTTTTGCTTTTGCGCCTTGTTTGCTGCTCTTTCTCTGTCACCAGCCATCTTTGCTTGGCACTGACTCCCGCCACCCCTCACCATCCTCGCAGCCTGGCCCCCATGCATCTTCAGCAAAGCTTCGCAGGAGATGCAAGGAGAGCGCTCGAACAAAGTCGTTAGGTTGTGAGGGGCCCAACGAGAGCCCTCCAAAGCACGGCGAGTTGGAGCCAGACTCTGACAGAAAGGGGCGAGTTTGCTCCGCCGAGCAAGACGTGGCTTTCGGCTATAAGCAAAAAGCCGGCAAAGGCGGAACGCTGTTTTCCTTCTCCTTGCAACTTCCAGAGTCATTTCCTTCCCTCCTGGATGACGACGGCTACCTGTCGCTCCCTAACCTCTCCGAAACCAACCTCCTGCCTGCCAGTGTGCAGCACTACCTTCCCATCCGCTCCCCCTCCCTGGTGCCTTGCTTCCTCTTCATTTTTTTCTTTCTGCTCTCTGCCTCTTTCTCAGTGCCATACGCCCTCACTCTCTCCTTTCCTCTGGCTATGTGCCTCTGCTACCTGGAGCCCAAGGCGGCCTCCTTGAGTGCCTCACTTGCCAATGACCTGAGTGACAGTTCAGAGGAAGAGGTGTGTACCTCGGCATCGAACACACTCTTTTTCGTGTTCAGTGCTTCAGTCCTAACCAGTGTTAGATTGCTGCAATAGTGGTCCTACTTTCAGAGCCTCATTTCTGTCTGTGCTGATATGTTAGAAGGGGTGGGTTTGGGTTTTTTTTGTTTGGGGGTTGGTTTTGTTTTTTTTCCCTTCTTTTTTATTTTTTTCTCGTGTTGGGAGTGCAGCTCGGGGCCCAGGGTTAGGCACAACACTGTGTGGAAGTGGCTTTGTTTGAACTGTGTCAGCTGATGCAAAGTGACTTGCAGTAAACAAATTGCCACTGATCAGCTCTGAAGTGTCATATCTGAACCCACCAAGACCTTTTCTTCCCCCTGTCAGTTTACAGTAGGGTTAGAATAGTTATCTAAATAGTGGGAATTAAGTACAATTTCCTGCATAATTATGTATGCATGCTTGTATATGTGTATGTATATAGATTATATTTATATAAATAGCTAGCCAAGGATAATGGGCATCCTCACCAACTTCAGGGTGTTCAAAATTGAGGCGGACTCTGCTTTTTGCAAGAGGCCATCAACTGTAGCCCAAGCCCAGAAAAGGCTTTCTGGTCCAGCGAAACCTGGATCTGGATTATCAGCCTTGACCCCATCTCTGCTGCAGATTAAATTGTTTCCCCAAGCTTAAATCCAATGTATCAGTGAGAGGTTAGTTTGGGACGGCTGTCCTGCAGCTGTTCGGGGAGTATGCCATGTGGGCTGTCTTGCCATTTGCAGTGTTACATTAGCACTGCCAAAACCGATACCTCAAGCCACCAGGGTTATCACAGGCAGATAAATCAACTGCAGGAGGAGTCCACAGTGGTTCTGGGAACTGTGGATATGATAATATATCCAGAAGAAGGAAAGGAATCTGCTTGTTTAAGTAACACAGTAACTGGCATCTCAGTTTTTGCTGGTGCCTAGTTACTCTTTGTTGACAGAATAAAATGATGAGTTCCTTTTTTCCTCATTTTTCCTTTTTCCCCTTCATCTTCAAACGCGAAAATACGGTTTTGCTTTGTATGTAAAAAAACCCCGGATCAGATAATCACAGATTAGTTGGCCATTTCTAAAAAGCTGGCTTGGCCACTTGTCGATGCCGTTGCAGTAGTTGTCTTCAATAAACCAGCTTGCGCATCTAAACATTTGTGTCATCTGCCGCTGTTGGTTTTGTAAGACTTGGTGCAGGATTTCATTTCCTTTTTACGGAAAGCCAAAAGTCGCATCAATTTATCTTGTAAAAACATTCTCTTTAGAAGCTTTTTGGCTCTGTGATGCCTAACTACTAAATAATAATGTGCAATTTCTGATAAAAGGCATCCAAAATGTTGCTGTCTCATTTCGCGTCCTCATTTTGAGATAGCATTTAGGTCTCAATTTGCATTAGCTCTGCGCTTGGATTAATCTAATAGCAATAACAGCATTAATACAGTGCCAGCTCCAGAGGCAATAACGAGGCAGTGTTTATGTAATACATTAGTCTGTTCCTCTTTCAGAAATGAGCACTTCTTTTTATTAGTAAAGTTAGGAAGTATTGAGCATAAAAACATATAAAATAGGCTTTTAATGTCGCTCTTTTATGAGGGTGCTTACTCTGGCAGTGCTTCCTGGCAGACAACACAGACTTGTGCCTAATCCAGGGGGTATTTCTTGTTCAAAATATTGCATGAAAGTGAGTATGTTTTAAACTCGGGCATGTCTGCATTACATTGGCAAAACAAATCACAGCAATTACGATTGCAAGTTAGAGGAGATGCAGCTGCAGCATCTCAGGAGATAGCTGCCTTCCCTCCCTGCTCGATCCCTCGCCCGCCCGTGAGCCCCACCAGCAGCTACAGCCTGTCTCGGCGTTGAGCCTGACCTTTCTTACTCTCCACTCCAGAGGAAACCTGCCTTGCTGAGCCTTAATTTGCCATTCCCTGCTCTGCAATAACCCCAGATCTGTATTTCAAGTAACTCAGTAACGCTGACTTTGACTCCATGGCTGTTGATTGGCTTATTAGCAGACATGTATGTTACAGTAAAGCAAATTTTATGCCTTATTTAGGATTTCATTGCTGTTATGGTAAAAGAAATAGAAACCTTTTTTTCCCCCAGTTCACAAAAGATTGTACACAGTGATGGAGAAGGCTGCAGCCAGTACCCTAAACCAATCTCATAGCTTACTGAGCTCCATTCTCCCTTGAGCAGTGCATCTGGAGGCAGTCTGTGCAGTCAGACAGATTCTCACCCCTTAGATTTCATTAGCTTCTGTGTTCGTACCTTAGCAGCTAATATTTCTGTTGACTAAATGCATAGATTCATTAATTCCTCTTTTTTTTCAATAGGCGTGACAATGCATAGATTTTTTTTATATTGCCATACCTTTACAATTGCTTATAATGTTATAAAGATGTGAGATCCTTCACTAATAAAGAAACAATTTTCTAACACTTGAATGAAAGCAATTTGACCAGCTAGGTAGACTATTTTGGCATTACAGTTTCATTTAAAACTAAAAGCGGTCTGTCTAGTGAGTGGTTATTGCTTGAAAAATTGCATATAACTTGCATTCATGCACTTAACCAAATAGTCCAAAATGCCCACTTATTCTTTTGAATACAAATTATTCAAAGGAAGGAATGATAGAGAACAAAGCAATGAAAAAATAACCAAAAAGCAGTTTTATGAAACATTGGAGTTGTCAGAAAATGACAGAAGATAGGAAATTCAAAGTTAAGACTGATACTCCATCCACCACTAGGTTGCTTTTTTCTCTTATTTCATACTGATGTGATCTGAGGATGAGATGTATTGTCCTAGCTTTAAATTACCTGCCTGGGTTACTTTAGATTATCTGAGGACCACAGAAAATCACTAATCAAAACCAGAGCTTTCACTGATGTTAAAACAACTTGGATGTGCCAATCTGGAGCAATAGGGAGCACGCACTTTACTTACTAGTTTTCCGTAAGCTTGCATAGCATCAAAAATAGTCATTTGAACTCTCTTCTCAGCCTGTAGTAACCTACACTCGACTCTCTATTTATTAAATCTCGACACTTGCGTTCACCAATAAAATGTTCTTCACAGTGTCGAGCAAAGCAGGGATAGATCAGTCTGTGCAATGCTGTGCTTTGTTTCATCTTTATCACTTGTACGGTGCGTTGGGGGGGGGGGGGGGTGGAGTTACTTTTATTTTTCTCCTGCTTTCATCCATATTCTTAAATGGAATGAGAAGTATTTTTGATTCTTTTAATGCCAGTTTTCTTTCTTTTTACTATTGTTAACAATATCAGCTGCTCTTTGTTGGAAGCGAGTGGGATCTGAGCCTTACCATTACTCCACAGACAGACAGTAGATGGGCTGGGGGTATGGTTATTTGAACTCCTTGGTAATGCAGACAGCCTCATAGTGTATAAATGTGGAGACAAGAACAACTTCTGTACAAATGAGGGGCTGAAAGTCAGGTGACTGTTAAAGTAGCCTTTTTTTTTTTTTTTTTTTAATTACCTTTTCCCCCTCCATATAAAAAGTCAAATACCACATTAATCTATATCGGCTAGAACAAAAATTTGATGGATAATTTTCTTTAAAAAACACATTATGGGAGGAAAAGTTTGTTTAGAAAATATTTTTTTTCCAGTTTTTTTTAAAGCCACCTGGCTTTCTTAAGAAAAAAATCTGCTATTCAAATAACACTTTTCCAGTACTGTTTTGTTTGGCTTATAAATTTGTTCCAGTAAAGCCATATACTGTGTACAGTACGCCTCGAGTCTTCCTCTGAGTCTGTTCTGTTTACTAATATAGCACTTTTATTTTGCTTCTTTGACTTGTGCGTGGTTTGAAAAGCAATGCTAATGCGGTTCGCAGGGGTGTTGAATTTAACAGTTCCCCGTGTGAGCCGCGTGTACTGATGAGCTGGGTTTATTCTTTATTCCTGCCTTCCTCTTGGGACCCGGTTACTTGTCTAACCGAATAGACTGACAGTGAGCAGACGGATACCGCAGCTGATGGTGAGACCACTGCCACCGAGGTTTGTACAGTTGCCGGCACCCAGTTACGGCAGGGGAGAGCGTTCTGCCTCATCTCTTCCCGACCCTGCGTGCCAAACTGCATGTCTCCTACGGCAGTTCAGGATCCCTCTCTGCGTGTGTGTGCATGTGCGCGCGTGCGAGTGCGAGAGCTTTGCTCGTCGAGTTGAGTTTTCAGTGCTCCCTAGGGGTTCCTCTTGTTTCTGAGTTTGCTTTGGAGACCGCGAGGCCTCTGCGCTCTGCAGGTAGTGGGGTGTCACCCAGGCCAGTGCTGCCCACCCGGGACGGTCATGCTGGCCAGATTGTGCCCTGGGTTGTTCAGTTTGCTTGTTTGCTCTTATAGTCTGCAGCCTGTGAGAGAGAGAGGGGGCGGGGGGGAAGACAGTAAAAAGCAGTTTTCAAATTTTCTGTATAAAAGTGTTTCCAGGTTATAAATACCTAAGGTTTTCCTGGAATTAATTTCACATGTCATCTTCACGTATTGCCACCAGTAGTCCAGGTATTGTCTTCAGAGGAGGAACGTAAAAAATTGCCATTTTCTTTGCACTGAGAAGCCTCATATCCACAACATGGTATATAGACTGTGCAGGCAAATTCAAACCTATGTGACTCCAGTGAAGTGCATATAATGTTTTCGTAATTAATATGGTTGCAGCTGCAAACGTGAGCTGAATTTGGTCTGACATCTGGTGGAAGACAAAGTCTTACCACAAACACTACTGTAGGTTTTCAGTAGGATCTCATTAATATTTCAGGCTGTTAAAATTATCGTCAAGGAAAAAATTCTCTGTATGACGTGTCAGGGCAATTCGGCCTCGGCTGTAAATATAATAGATTTGAACTGAGTTATAAAGTAATCAACAGCTAAAGATTTTCCCATGGGTCATTTGACTAAGTAGGACTATATGAAAAATCGACAATAAAAGTGGCGTGAGCATTAAAGAATCCAAACGGAGCAACAACATAAAGCCTGTTGAGACCAGTCAGGAGTACAAAATGCTTTGAAGTGCCTCTTGCACTGTATGGCTTCAGGCCTTGAGCCACACAGAAAGTAAAACATAATCCTAAAACCGTGATATTTAAAATGTTCAGTTTATTAATCAAAAATGCACGATAATCTCCCTAGCTGCCATCTTTATTTTAGGGGAGAAGATTATGTGAACCTCGATTTTCCTTATGGATACCTGATTTTCAAAAAGTGTGGTATACTTGCCATCTGAAAATTCAGCCCTCAGAATCAGGGCTGCTTGGGCAGTCCATATTGCATTGCTTTTGAAAACGTGACCTGAAGTGAATGTGATGTGTATGCCATTCCAGAAGACGACCGCTGGAGATAGATCCTGAAAGAATATATACAGGCTAAATAGGAAATTAAATTATAGAAATAAAAAAAAGGGACTGGGGCTAGAGCAATAACATTTTAAGCAAATAAAATGTGCTTCATTCTGTAGAAAGTGTTGCGGGTCGTTTACACTTGGCGAGTTTATGCTTAGCCTGTGGCCCAGGAGATGTCATACGTTTAAACTCTGGGATTATGGACTACCAAAGAATTTGCAGTTGCCACTTGGTCCAAAACCGGCTGCGATCTCGGTGAGAAGGTCCAGCTGCTGCTCCCTAAATAGATATCTATGAATGTGGAGCGCACCAATGATACTTATAAAAGGAAAATGTTTAATATTCCTTCGTTCACAATCAACAAGTTTGAAAAGAGGAGGCTTGCTTTGAGTTAGGAGAACCGTGCAAAGTCAACCAGTGTGTCTACTCCTTCTCCTTAAGCCCTTACCCTAGAGAAAATGTGACCTTAACCTAGTATGTTCCTCTCACCAATTTTTGTAAAGCCTTCGGCCATACGAGTGGGTAAGGTGTTATTTTCCAATCTTTCTCATGCTGGCAGTCGGATCAAGAGGAGGACGGAGATCTAAAGGCACAGGTACAGAAACGAAAGGCCCAGATGTTGGTCAAGTATCAATGTTGGAGGTGTTCACCTCTCTCAGCATGTTATTGTCGGTTCTCTGTGAAGAAATGTGTAGAAACAGCATTTTGTATCCTTTCAATACTGTGTCCCTTACCTTTCCCTTTCTTTTTCACTTCTTTCAGAATAGTCTGATTAAGCGAATACAGGGTGAAAATGTGTATGTCAAACATAGTAATCTTATGTTAGAGGTTGGTATTGGTATATACCAGTGCATGTACGTACATGTGTGTTAGTTTTAGTGGTAAACTGTGAACCTGCACTATGATGCATGAACTGTATACTCCCACCTGCTAATAAATCAAATAGATACTTTTTTTCTCAGATTATGATGACTCCTCTAACTTGTACTGTAAATACATATATGCGTGCGCGTATGTGTGTGTGTGTTTGTTTGAAGCCTCTTTATCAGGTGTAAATTATAGTGATACGGATAAGCTCTTTAAGAGTATTTTTATACTCACTTGTACGAGATATGCTATGCTGTTCTCTTTCAAAATGCCACATTTTCACAGAGTGTTGTGTTAGTGCTGTGCTCCCCGGCTCCCTGAGATGTTACGTCCCTCTTTACTAACCAAGTTGTGTGTTTTGGCTCTAAAATTTGGTTGGCATAGGATGTATTACAAACTGCTCTATTCTTTTAAAACTGTCCAGGACCTAGACAAAACCCAGGAAGATCTGATGAAACATCAGACCAATATAAGCGAGCTGAAACGCACCTTCTTGGAAACCTCCACAGAAACGGCTGTGTCTAATGAGTGGGAGAAGAGGCTTTCCACATCTCCCGTTCGGCTTGCAGCAAGGCAGGAGGAAGCTCCTATGATTGAACCACTAGTGCCTGAAGAGGTCAGCGTGAGCTGAAAGGCTTCATTACGTATTTGTCTATTCGTTTTTGCTTATAAGAGCTCTCAGTAGATTAGAGGCCGTAGTTAGAGGCCATTCCCCACTTGCCGTTGCTCCCTGTTTTCTCAGCACTCAGGCTCTAGCAGCAAACATGCAAGGAAGAGCAGGTACCTTTATATATATATATATATATATGTGTGTATATATAGTTAGAGTATGAAATTCACTGGAAGCCGCGTGGCAGAATTGGGTCTCTCTGAGGGTGTGAAACGCAGGCTTCCTTACGGGTTCGGTGAGCTTGAGGAAGTCCAGCCATGCGTGGAAGGAACCATGAAGGTGATGGAGAGAAAATCTAAATAACGGTGACTGGTTGGGAGCAGCAGTGTAGCGGGATGGATGGGGGTACCAAGCTTGACAAGAAAATACAGAGCAAAGGGCAGAACTCTCCGTCTTTGAAGGCGGGGGAGAAATAATGATGATAATTAGACCTGCTTGGCCAGTTCCATGAAGGAACTGGTAGTTGCTGCAGTTTGCTGGATACCGTTTTGTTGAAGATCCAATGCAGATTGCTAAGTGTGTACATTTTCATGCAGTGTGCATGCGTGAAAAAATCTTGCTCACTGTGCAGTCTTTAAGTGTTTGCAAGAAACCTGCCAATTAAAAAGCTGCTTTTTATTCAGTTTGTGGATAGATAATGAGATGTAGAGGAAACTGTAACATTCATGTTGCCGTAAAATACATAGTTCTTCAAAACAAGCAGAGTCTGGGTTTAAATCCAGTGGAGCAAAAAGAAATAAGCTTGTGTGGTCTGCACGAAGATTAATTTTTTTATTCTATTGTGGATGGAGATCTGGTTTCTGTCTCATAGGAATCATCTTTATGATTACCACTTGTTTTTAGCATTACAGACCAATAAATGGTCATAAAATTTGCTTCTGTCACCTCAGCACTGATGTAATGTTGTAAGGAACTCTGCAAAAATTGGCTGGAAAGTATAATTCGAAAGTCTCCTGCTTTGCCACCTTAGAGGTTGACATTGCAGACCTGCGGCTCTCTGGGGAAGGGAATCCCTGGAGCCACCCAGATAAGACATGTCAACTTCTCCTCTTAGGGAAAGGGTTGTTGCCAAGAAAAAGGCCCCAACTCCTCTTCTCCTACATTATACCCATCTAACCAGTGGCTGATACGGACATGAGACATGCATTAGAGTGGCCATCAGGTTGTATTAAAATACCTAAAAAGCAGACTGAGTGCCCAAAGCTGACCTTTTGGAGAGAGCGCTGAGGACTCTTAATGTTGCTCCTACTGCCTTGTTCAGGAATCATAATAGATCCTACGACCGCGTTAGTTTGGTTGCAGTTGAAAATACAGGTTTTCTTGCTTAAAAGTAAAATTGTAAGTATAATAAACAGGATGCGCTTAACATATTAAAGATGTAAGGAACTGTTGAAAGGGAGTGGCTGGCTAGCTGAGCCTGAATCAGAGGAGTGCAGGTGAAGCAAATTTAAAACCCCCCGGTTCATTTCATGTCTTTATTACTTTAGAAATGTAATAACAATTTTTAATTAAAACGCAAAAGCAGTAGCAAAGCATTACACAGTTACGTAGGCTTCACCCTGAGGAAACACATCCGAATTTAACCATTCATTTGGAACGGAAAAGGGCAGGAGTTATCCTTATCTGGTAACTCTTCTCTTGGTCAAAAGCTATGTCCAGTTACTATATCTTATATGGATCTGAGTAAACTACAGCTGTCCCATAGAATCTCATCCAAATGAAGGCATTTCTGTGGAAAAATGTGAGTGGATTTGAGCTATCAGAGCCTAACTCTGAGGTGACTTCTGGCAGTAAGGGGCCCCTGCTGTAGATGATATCTGACCATCCTTTTTGGTCCTGCTAAGCAGGATGGTTTCAGTTCACATGTCCTGCTGAGAGGAATTTTTCAGGAAAAAACTGAAGCCATGCATAGGTCAAAATAAGCACCTTGATGTCTACTAAGAAATGCAGAGGCAGTCAGGGTAGAGAGCACATAGAACTGCGTTGTGTAGTAGCTTCTTCTAGTCGAAGAAGTTACATGTTTAACTTAGCATGTCCACTTTAAAAATGTATTCAGTGCTGTTACCTGTAGCTCTTTAATAGAATAAAACAAGAACAGAAGGGAAAATACGCCTTTTCAAAATGTGTGCTTTGAGCATTTGGCACCTGTGTGTGTTCGGTCAGTTTGACTTTAAGCCTGTCTAGTCACCAGCTGGTTTCTTACAATAATAGGGGAAATACTTTGTTTTTCTTTAGTTATGAAAAATATAGTTTTAAATATCTGCCATAATGGTGGCCAGATAGCTGCAGAACATGAAAGCCATCATATTAACAAACTCCTTGACAATGTTTAGTCTGACCTGGATTGGATTAAACCAGCACTTTAGAAATAAAGAAGTTATGCATCTCATTACAGCCAGGGAGATAAGCCATTTCTCCCTTTCTCTCTCAAGTTTCTAGAAGTTTTGTATCTTTCTTTAAACGTGTGCCTTTCTTCTTGAGTACGTGGAGTATACGTATTTAAACGGTACACTAGGAACGGTACCTTAGGAAATTGAGTCTTACCAGCATTTAAAACTGTCCCAGCTGGCCAAGTTGCAGAGATACTCTTCTCATTCTCACAGCACTGGGAAGGCACGGATGGGATAAAGGTGAGGAGGACTTTGGTGTCACGCTGTAAAGAATAATACAGCAGTGGTTAGCTTCCTGCATGGGAACAAGACTCTGAGGCCTCTTGTACCTGTAAGGAGAAAAGGAGAGCTGAAATCTTTGCAGAGCACACCTTCTGCCTGCTTCAACAGGGAAGGCTGCAAACTCAGGAAAGAGCTAAGTCCAGGGTGAAGGTGGAGGCACCTGTTCTAGGCTATTGATGGAAACCATGGAAGTTGGCACCAGACACAGTTAAATGAATAATAGATGAAATGAACGCACTGCATCCGCACCCGGTGTTATTCAATTTACTGTTTCTCCTGCTACGCAAACAGTATGCTTGTGTCTGCTTCGCATTCATCACAGAGAGACACTGATTTCACTTCTTATTGGAAACTTCTTTGCTGTAAAATTGTTCTGTTTAATTCTGTTTCCTAATTTACCATGCAATTAATAATTTGTAGAGTGGAGAAATATGATGAGCTGTTGTAAAGTGTAGTGGACTATGTACCCTCCATTTACTAAAACCGTTTATTCCCCTGACATTAGACCAAAGAAGAAAGAGAAAAATCAGAAAAACTCATATTTTTGCAGAAGGGAGGTACTACATTCCTTGAATTGCAGGTAAAAACAAATAATACTTTCCTGAAATGCAGTCTGATAGGCTGGCAGTGATTTCTTATTTTCTTTTTTCCTTTCCAAGCCATTTTTTTTTTATTTACTTATTTCATAAGTTCCAGAGGGAGATGTAACCTGGGGGCCAAATTCTGAGGAATGAGTACCCTCCAGAGCTTATGGCTTCCTAAGAGAGACCTATTTCTCTGCTAGTTAGAAATCTACTTGCACGGTGCTATTTGTGGATGTTGTTTGCAGTTGTGCATGCATTTCCAGCATAAGCCTCACTGAGAACATTGTGGTGAATGGGGCATTTCTGTCATTAGAATGAATTTCCTTTATACTGTCAAGTGAATTCAGATTATGCTGAGTGATGGTGAACTTTGTATTCTTATTGGTTTTTCTATTAGCCAAGTGTGATAGAGAAGAAGCTGCAGGAAGGAGAATCTGCTGGCACTTTGGTTACTTCTCATCAAATCATTATCCAGAAAAGTATCCCATCATCCCTAGAGGTTATTTTTAATTCATTCGATTTTAAACTAGCATATTTGCTTAGTTAAATACAGAAGTTATGGTCTTAAGGTCAAATAACTGGATGCTGATTACATAGCCGTAGCAAATCACATAGCACATTTGTATAAAGAGGAAAAAAGATGCTGCACTAAGTTCAGTTCAGTATCTATAGTAGTATGGCATTTACTGTGTTGTGCTACTCAATTTAAACAATACTAAAGGGGGTTGATGTTATTCTAATGAAAACAAGGAAATTCGGTGCAGGCTACAGCTACATAGAAATGCATACTATTCCAAAACCTCATCAACAGTGTGTTTGTCACAACTGGGGAACAGTTGAATGGGCTTATTTGCCATATTTTTGTAATTTGTTTTTGACTGTAGCATTATGAACCATTGTGATACATGGTTTTTAACCTCAGGATAATTCCAACCATCATTTTAAGTGATGCACTACAATGCTACCCTGCTTCAAATTACTACAGAAATAGTGTGGCAAAAGTAACTTTCTGCATCCACATTATATGGGTGTCTAAGGGGAGGGAATCTACAAAGGAATCATATCTTCTCTAAGAGGTACAATGGTAAAAGTTATTCTATGCTTTCAGAAGAGGCAGCATTGATTTCTTAAACGTCTTCATACTTTAGTGCTCCTGAAGTAGAGATAAACCTTCAGATATTCTAATTTAGCTTTTATATCTCAAATATAGGGCACTGAGGATTGGGTTATTATAGACAAAATACCCTCTGAGGTAGTTGATGGTGAATCGAAAAAAAATCTGGCATACAAAGTAGTGACTGTGAGCAGTAAAACTGCCTTTCCACCTGAGATATTAAAATCCAGTACCATTCTAATGCAGAGCTTTGAGGACTTGGAAAGTGAAATACAATCCAAAGAGGAGAATAAGCAGAAAATGTTCACCCTAGGAAAGTCCTATGATACTGAATCCGGGAAAATTGTAACCATGACAAGTAAAGGTAAAGAGGGTGAGAAAGCAGTACAGCCTTCAGTAGAAGCTTTGCAAAAAATGGAAAGGGAAGTGCAAGAATCTGTGAAAATCATTCCGGTAGTGGCCGAGTATGAAATCCTCGAGCCTGTCACTGATGAGAAAGCCAGGCGGGGATCCGATGTGCAGAGCACGAAAAGAAAGCTGTCCGACTCTCTGACACCCATAAAGGAAGCAGAATCTCAGTTGCACAGTCCTGAAGAGGAGAGTTTGAAAAAGACACTAAAGATGGACCAGGATTTGCAGTTACATGGTACACTGGGAAGCTTGCAGCTTGGCAAAGCAGAAAAACACCTTGGCAGTGAAGCTGTAAAAGCAGGGGCATTTTCCCGGAGAGATAAGAGCCTGTCTGAGTGGAGATATTCCAGAGAACAGCCATTTACCATTGCTACTGCTCACTATGTTACCGAGTCGTCTGCGTCAAAAGTAGTGGTAACGAGTGGCTTTGACTTCACGCCACGGTTTAAAGATTAAAGCATGACTTCTTCTAGGCAATCCCCTCACACCACCCTACCTTTCGGTTCTCTTGCTGCCTGGCTTTATGTTGACAGCAGCCGACCCAGCTTATTTTTTTTCCCCTCATACTTTGAATCCGTCCCACAGTCTGAAGCAGACATTATATAAGGCTTTCAACCTTTCTGGTTTATTTAAAGATCTGTGTTACTGAAATGTAGTATCGCTGCTGTGGCTTGTTAGTAAAAGGAAAAAAAAGGTTTGCTTGAACCAGCAAAATGCCAACGCTAACAACTGTGCTTTGTAACTATTGCTTACTACGGCCATTATGAATTTGCTCGGATTTATTTTCCCATTCTTTTCCTGTTTCCAACCTCTCCATGCCCCCGCAACCTTCTCTCCCTTCCCTCTGTCCCTGCCTCCGGTTTTGGCAATTAATATGTCTGTGCACGTGGGTCTGCCTTTCTTCTGTGTATGACTCTACATTTCTTTGTCTATTTAGACTAAACAGTCCACCGGTGAAAAAACCTTGGATGGTTCAGATATCTTCAGTTTAATAGAGTCCGCCAGAAAACCGACTGAGTTCATAGGAGGGGTTACTTCCACTTCACATAGCTGGGCTCAGGTGGCCGTTTGATTCCCTCCGTCAGCGTTAAAACTGCACACTGATTACTTTTGCTTTTCTTTTGTTTCCTGGTTTTATGCATAACGCGGAACCTATATAACTAACGCATGCATTGGTGTGCCTTCTCCTTTGTTACAATAGACCACAGTAGAAACTTCACCAGAAAGAAAAACAAAAAAAAAAAAACAGGCTTTGTCTCATTTTACTTTATTTTGGTCATTTTGCAGGGTGCTGTATTTTGCCTTTATAAAACTCACGCAAAAATACCAACGAGAAAAACACTGTGACATTTCTCTTCACTTTTAAAAATTGTGGTTCTTGCTTTGTTTTTCATTTCTACTATTCTGATAATGTCCTGAGAGTGAAAACCCTTACAACGTGAGAGAAATAAATTGGCAAAATGTAATACCCATTTTTTTATTTATGTTCACAGCACATTAAGCTGAGGAGCTACTGCAAGGAGTGTTGTCTGCTTCTGACGCTGAGGGTTTTTTTTTCCTCCCCCTGCGCAGAGAATAGACACGACATCTCAGGAGGTGACTTCCAGTGAA